GTCGGCAGCACTTTCAGCGTGTCCACCACCGACCATCCCGCAGAGTCGGCATTGGTGAGAAATCACCGCTTAAACGCCACCCAATCGCGGCTGGCAGCAAGAAATTATTTAATGAAGGGCAGTTGACGGCGGAATGACTGGACGTCAATTGACGAGGATGTCCCCGCTTCCAGCTTGGCGGGCTCAGCGCTCCCCGCCGGCGACAAAATGGCACCCGCGACCGCGGGAAGTGGCGATGGCATTCCCGCCTTCTGTGAAATGGCGGCCGAGTCACCCCGTCCAGACAACTCCGCCGCTCCCTCCTTCGCCGTCGAGGGCCAGGACCGCATCTCGACGAGGATCGAGGACGCCGCTTGGAGGAGGTCAGCGAGACGGCCGTGCGCATCCCTGATGAGTGCCTCCGAAGAAGGCGAGGCGCCGTGCGCCCCGACTGGGCTCTGCTCCGCCGGCAGCGCCTCCGCTCCTTCCTCGGCGGCCGTGGGCGGAATCAGCTCCTCGTCGTCTTCGTCGTCCGATGCCCGTACACGAACTCTGCGACGTTGGCCACTTCCGACATCAGTTGTCGTGAGTCCAAATGAGTCGCAGACGTTGTCTTGGGAGCAACACTATTTATTTCACCAACTCAACATAACATAACATAACCTCCACTTGAGTGTTGAATGCACATCTAGCCACGCTACGGCAGAACTAGGCACAGTTCGATATCCCGGCCCGGACCACAAGCTGGGTCCCGGACCGCATGGCAGGGGATTCTTTTACCTGACGTGGATCTTCTTCACCAGCAACACTAAAAACCCCAAGCCCCTCACGGGGCCCCCGTTATATCAGCCTGGGCTAGGGCTGGCTCCGCCCCTCACCCCGCCCCCCTTTTAGATATATCGAGCTCTTTTCCAAAGGCTCCCGAAAGCTCTTTTATACCACGTGATCGCCCAGCGGCCCCCGTCCACCGGTTGGCCCCCCTCCAATATCATCCGATCACGTGTCGGCAGGTCAACCAGCGTATCATGCACCAAACGTAACCCTGGCTGGCTGACACTCCCTCTCGCTCCCTCTCCGGGAGCCCGCACCGCACACTGTACGTGATGCCTCCGCGCTGACAAGCACTCACCCAAGCCCCGCTAGGACTGTTACTACGCCCAGTAAGCAGGCTACACATAATGCTCACACATTATCCTCCGTGGCTTCGTAAGCCTGGCACCACACAGTGACATTCACAGTCACTACATCTGTACTAGGGCTGAACGATTTGGGGAAAAATACCTAATTGCGATTTTTCTGACAGATATTGCGATTGCGATTGATTTGCGATTTCTTTTTTAAAAGTCAAGCTTCAGTTCAATATTCAGTGTGGAATAGATTTAAACATGTGATGGCACATTACCACATGATACCAATAAAATATGAACTGCTCTATATATTCTAATGCAAGGATGAGAACTTAAAAGATATGAATTGCTTCCAACATGTATTTATTAAAATGTTTGAATTGAAATATAACAATCAAACATAGAACAATTGTTAAGTTCAATAAGTAAAGTTATCATATATTTTTTTTAACAATTCCAATAAGAAAGTAATAGGACTTTTCAAATCGCAAAAAATCTCAGCCTTTGCGATTTACTAATCGCATTGTTTCAAATTGCGATTTCGATTTGAAATCGATTAATCGTTCAGCCCGAGTATTTACATTGCACTTATTTTGCACGGTACATAGCCAATGATGCTAATCGGAGGTACATAGCCAACCTTGAGAATAACCTCAGGTGCTACCACCTCAGGTAGCAAACTTTAGCACTACAGATTTATTAAGCATGACTTATGAGAGTGAATTATTGCATAATCCAGTCATTACAAACGGTCATCACATAATTGACTGTTGTTGGCCATATCAGGAAACTGGGCCTACTAAAGTCATGCCACCTCAGGTGGAACTGGCAAGTCCAATATCCGGTCTGGGCTCATGGACTGGGGCTTTGCAACAGCGATAATCCTTCCAAGTGCCCTGTACTATACTGTGTACAATTATACTTTTCTACGTGAAATATATATTCTGCTACATATAATATATATTTGTACAGTGAGACAATTACCATTCATGTTGTGCATGATAATGTTCATATGCCAGTGCGTGAACCACAATGCCACGACTCCACATGTAGTCTTGTATATTATACTAGAGAGCAAAACATGTCTAGAAAGTAAATAGTCATATTAAATTGAATGGGTGGCTTTAGTGGGGGAAAAAAAACGATGAGGTTGAAATATTTTAATTTCTCTAATGTTCTGGGAAATGTTTTATCTTGTATTTGTATACCAGATATGCTGTATGTTGATGTAGTGTAAATATGATTGGCTTCTATAGATGCTAATTTAATAAGTTAAACAAATATCAATGAATAAAAGGAACTGTTGACACATGGATTAGAATATAATCTTTCTTTCCCAATTTATTAAAGTAATATTTTAAGAATAGCTGTATATTCCTCTGAAAATGTATTAATTTTGCATAAACCTCAAGTGTATAATAAAAAAAAACACAATCTTGAAATTAAACAACTACACCTTAAAAGTTCCACATGCAAAGCAGAATGCAAGTTTTCTAAAACAAAATTAAAGAAATGTATGCTTTTTTAACCATGAAGATACTTTAATAAACAACAAGTAACATTTTTATATTTTGTCAGATACAGTTGATTTATATCGTGCAATATTAAATTGGCAAGGATCTGCTTTATTGAAAAAAATACTCTGTGAAGGTGGCACCATTAAAAAATATATATATTTATGAAATGGTCTGGGAAAAAAGGCAAAACGTTGGGGGTGAAGGGATTTTGGGATTATCGTAAAGACTGTGGTCAAAAGTGCAGGAGATTCTATCGATTATGTTCCACCTCGAGTAATAGCAAAATTGCTTGCACTGTCTTCGGTGTTCAGACAATTGCCGTTCCTCCATACGGCCTGGCTGGCAATGCTAATGGTAGTGCTGTATGCCTCACATACAAATACAATTGTGCACAATGAATACGCAACTTAAAAATAATCTGCAACCCAGTCAAATGTAATTTCAAATTAACGTGCATTATTTCCACGTTACAAAAAAATATGAATCATGTTAAATATATTTTAAATATCGTTGTTATTCAACCAGGCATTTAAAATATATATCAGTTTTTTTGCAAAAATAATTTTGTTCATTGCATTTTAACATTGTTCAGCATGGTTTTCTTAAGACTTGAATGAATCGGGCAATAACAATATTACTCAAGCATTCATCGCCCACATGAATATAAAAAGCCTCGCTCTCAAGGTAGCATGCTGGAAATGTGGGAGTCCTCATGACAATGATAACCATTTTTCTTCGAATGTCTTTATTTGAGGAAATAGCATTGAAAATTGTACCGACAACTTTAATGAATGTCACACCCGAAGAGGTACACTTGTATGGTGGGTGCTATTCTATAGGCAAATAATTAACCTGCTGTATTTGACCAACAGTCACTGTGTACTTCTTCTGTTCTCGTTATCCCCATGCTATATACATAAGTACAATGTCCATGGTAGCTTTTACTTCAAGCACTGTAAATGGCTGTAATATTGACTGAAACAAAAGAAAAAACTAAAATCTTTCATAAATTCAGTGAGATACGCGTAGGTGGATGCAATGGTTATTGTAATAAAGTGTAGTAGTAATCAGTGAAATGTGTGAGTTATGTATGCAACTGTATTCACATTCCATACGAATGTTCATGCGATATTTACATATACATAATTCAAATAATTAATTAACTACATGAGGCAGTGGTCATGTTTATTCGTAGTCATGAGGCAACGGTTGAAATTCCACAATCACATGGCAACAGTATTCTCACAGGACAACTGTAAAATAAGTAGAGAAAATATGAATGCGTAAAAAATCAACTGCAGTAAATTATGTCAGTCTTATTATTGCTAAAGCCACCATTACCAATATTTAGGTATATACTTTAGTGTCACTGTCTTAATGATCATTATGGTAAATGTTACTGTTGCATTATCCGAAAATCAGTAAGAGATGTGTATGCCTGCATGCTTGCATTTGAGTTATATAATGTTACACAATAAACCCTCGACTGTTCAAAACGTATTTCACGTTTACTAAAAAATTGTCAGAAGCCAATTGGCTAGAATAAACGAGGTTTGAATGCACTAATTCCACACACAATTACAATAAAATAGACTTCTTCGTATTTTCTCTTGACTTAAAAGCTTTCGTGACTGCAGGAAGTACAATGGCCACCTCCACAGCTTCGTCGTCGTAGAGGTATCCCAGCTCTCTCTGATCTTACATTTACATGCAAATGTCATCACTAGCCCCGCCCACTTCGCTTATGACCCTTGGGCTACACCCATCTCAAACCTTTATAACATCCTGCCTCAGCAGCTCTCCCGCTATATTTTTTCCTGCCTCAGCAGCTCTCCCGCTATATTTTTTCACCTGATGACGATCGCTTGTGTTGCGATCGAAACGTCGTTATATTTTTCTTATTTTTCTATCTACGTGGCTTTATCTTCGTATTTTGTGATAATTTTGAGTAATGTTGCCCAAGTAAAACCATCGGGGCATCTAATAGGCATACAACAATTTACAACCTGGTGATTCAATGAAATGCCACGAATTATGTTTTCCAATTTGATTCAAGACTCAATATATTTTTGCATTGTGGTACTCATTTGTTTTGCTTTCTTTTTTGTGTCTTGCTTGTTCTGTTGCATTAATTTTTATTCGTCAAAGGTACACCTATGCTTTATAATCAGCATGAAGCATAAATTATACATTATTAGTGTCACAAATGTATGTACGTATTGGTAGATCAATGAATTGCTGTTTTCCTGCTATCTCAGCATCTGCATTTGTGCCACGTTCAGCAATTATTTCATTATCAGTGTCAGGTATACCATATAATATACATGTATATGGATTCATTGTACTATGGTAGTTCCTGGCAGGTTTTACTGTGTACCTTAACAGTATAGAGGACAGAGCCCAGTATGAGGACTTCAGGGGGGTGTATCCAAATCTTGTCTGTCACAAGAAAAAAAAATCACAATATAACCATTACACGAATGACAAACACAACTCCAGTGCCATAATTTGATCTGCTCCTGAGGGATGATGGATTGAGTTGACCCTGACTGGAATTTGTACTTAGAATTCTTCGAATCTGGGTAAAGCGTTATGTTACCATGTCACCCCAAACAAATGACTGAAAGCGAATACTATTTAAATAAAGCATCCATGTTTTATTTCTGTGATACAAAATATATATTTAGTTAATTTCCAATGCTTCTACAGTAGGTTCCATTCCAAGAATGGAACATCCAGATAATTATATACTGGAGATGGAAATTGAGCGACAGCCATAATTCTGAGTTGATGGATCGGAATCCCTTATCAAATGGTAATCACTGTACATATCAAAACTTGAATGGAATTACATGGGGGAATTATAATCCAATAGAAATGGCTTCTAGCATTAACTCTGTAAATCTTGCTTCCTTGCCTCCCTTCAAACAATTATGTAATTTAATGCTGAGGTAATAGAGGGTTCTTTTAAAGGCTTTTAAAACTTAAAATAGATTTAAGATTAGCAGATTAAGAGGCATTTGATGTTTTGTCAAATTGAAAGATTTGCCTGGTTTAACCCATGTCTTCCCACAATTACATTAAATACATTATTGTTTTGTCAGGGTCAAAAACTGGTATATTTTACCATTCAGCTAAAAGGCGTAAATAAAACACATTTCAAAGGACCAAAAGCTGATTATTTAGGCTCTTTAGCTGGCTACTGGGGTTTTAACATGAGCAGGGAATAACACTACATAGATCGTAATTGCAAGGCATTATTTAAAATTAATAACTAAGTATCGTATTCGCACACTCAAATAAGGCAACCAGTGCAACAACAATCCACATTTAACCAAAAAGAGCACTGTGAAAAAAAACCTCACAACCAAAACAAAAAAGACTTGCAAAAACAATAAACAGATAGACGTTTTAAGATGGGTACAATTTTCACATGTCAAAGAGTACAATGAAAAGCAATCACTCACCTTTGCGTTTGTTGAAGGGACGTGGCATTTTCTCACGATCGTCGTTGCCAGGATGTTTGACTGCAACTTAAACAAAGAATATGCAATATTGCAAATTCATTTGCATTGCTTTCGTCGCTGTGGAAGATATATGTAGAGCAAGCAATAAAGTTTAGCTGGATTGAGTTTGTACCCTCCCCGCAAAAACACAGCCAGTCTAGTTAGTTATCCACAAAAACATGTCAATGCCAAATTATTGACATTACATGCAATTAACCTATTGATTTTTATGAGGAGGATTTCCCCTATTCAATCATATCCCCGTATATACGTTTCAATGTTACATGCAGCCTTTTTTTGCAGAAACAGCACAATATATACTGCACTTTGGCATGATCTCAACACGCCGTTCTAGTGTCGTGATGCAGTGCTAGCATGATAACATATCTGTAAATGAAAATAAATGAACATAATGCAGCATTATGGCCTCCACTTGCCCCAGGGTAGGTCAAACGCCTCTCACTGCATGACAGTTGTGACTTGCAATGCCTTAGCAGCAACTTCAATCATTAAAATTTATGAAAAGCTCTTGATCTAAAACCCAATGGGTGATGGGGTTTGGAAAGAACATGGGAATCCTGGAGGATACTATATGTACACTGTGTGTTGACATGGGATGATGTTTCACACTGCTTGCTGAGAGAAATCCAAGTAAAGTTTTCATTTCTAATTAAGCATAACTTTAGCTCAATTTTAATGTGGAAAATAATGCATAACTTACAATCGGGTTGTTACCATGATGCTAATTAAATGTTATGGGAATTGTTTGATTTCCATTTGGCAAGTAGTGTCTGGGCTAAAATATACATTGAGCTATTTGGATGGTAACTTGACCAACTAGTGAGTTTCTCTGGTGGCTCTTTTTTTTTTTTACAAAAAGCAGCCCTGAATTTCAACGAGCCATGGGATGCAGGTGTTTTTTTAAATTACAATGCTTATTTAGTCGAGATAGGCTCACTGAGTGACATGCCTCTTTTTGAGGACAGTTCTGTCAAGTTTTCTTAGTAGGGGGGCAATGATTGCTATGTAGTGTACATTCCAATCGAATAATGTGCAGGTAATTTTTACGAAATTGACAATTTTGGACCAGGAAGCCGGCACAAAATGGCCTACTCTTGTGCATGACGTCGCGGGGGGTGTTTAACATCCACTGTGATCGGGCAGCACGTGTATATTTTTGGTTTCAAAAGCCCCGCAGGTAAGAACTAGGGCGGCCGCTGATTTAGAAACCCTGGGAGTCTGCGACAGGCGAGGAATTCGCTGCCGTGAGGCCGCGTCACCGCTTGGACAAATGCTGCTGCCAAAACGTTGCTACAAAGTGCTCTGAATGCTGATGGTCTACAATATCAGCTAACCTATGAAAGTCATTTTTTTGTCTGTCAGTCTGTTTGTCCATCTGTCTGTCTGTCTGCGCACGCGCGCTTGCGAGGGATTTGGCCATGGGGTTTACAGTACATCGAAAAAAAAATGGCCAGCCAGCACGCCGTAAGCCCCGTGCTTGGCATAGGCCTTTTCCACGTCCGTCACCTTTAAATTAGTTCAAATAGCGTTTGTGTGCGATTTCTATTTATTTATTTATTTCCCCGCACCGCTCAAGCTGCACGGGGGTTGCCCCTGGCAACGCACGCGCGTCATCGGTGGAGGGTGGGGGGGATTTCTTCTTCGCGTTCAAAATGCAAAAAAAAAACACGCAACTCTGAGGTAAATTCATCAAAGTGTCATGTCCTCTTCTCTCTCCCCCGCACCCCAATGTGTGCACTTACTACTATAGGGTCGGTAGATACTAAGATTATAGCGCTTAGATAGTATTATTGTAGGGCGGGGTGATGGGGGGGGGGGGGGTAGCGGCCCAGCCCCCAGCCTGGCAATGTGTCACCTCCTCTGGCTGGGCAATCTAGGCGAGGCCACGGGCTCTGCAGGGGACTAGGCCTCACCACAGCAATGTAAAGTACAATTTTACTGAATCTTTCGCAAACAACTCAGGTTCATTGTTTACTATTATGAAACAAATAAGTTCGCAAATATTACAATAATAATGTTTGTGTGCAGACCAACATGGGTACCACTTCAAGATTCCTCCAATTACAAAGCTGCAGGACAAAGACATCCTCACAAAACTGTCTCCTCTAAAAAAACATATTTCTTCGTGATCATGGACAGAGGAAGAAACCATATATTATGGTGCGCCAACCTCTTTCACCAGTATGTTGTCGATGGGCATGCCAACATTGAGAATGAGCGCCTTCTTTACATTCAACTGAATCTAAACCGCCTGCGTGTGAACAGTATGCTTATCTCTGGAATGCCATCAATGCCGAAGGAGATGCAAACGGTCACAATGTGGGCTGATTCGTTATTTTGCCTTCATCCTTCGCAGTTCCACCAAGATACATGCATGAGTAGACTCAGAATGCCATGACATACATGAGCAAATATGTCATGCCCCATCTCTTCATCACCTTCACTTGCAATCCCAAATTAAAGGAGATCCAGGTTTACCTTTATCCAAACCAAAAGCCACCAGACAGACCTGAAATCTTAGCGAAGGTCTTAAAACTAAAAGTTTAGGACCTCATGATGCTTATTACGACCAACGAAGGCGGCGTCTTTGGATAGACAAGGAGTAACTTGCACACCATTGGGTGGCAAAAACGTCATCTTCCTCATGCTCACATTTCGCTATGGATAAGGGAAACAATTAATGCAAGTCACATTGACACATTTATCAGTGCTGAGCTACCTCACCACCATCAAGACCCTGCCCTTTTTCTGTGGTCTGCAGCCAAATGGTCCAATGCCCATGTGGCCAGTTCTATCCAAATGCGCCATGTATGCAAGATCTCAAGTGTACCAAGAGGTATCCACGGAACTACTTGACAGACACTCAGTCAGCCCATGATGGCTATCCTCTATATCGTCACAGAAATACTGAGCATGGTGGATGTCAAACAACACTCAGACCTGCCACTAACTCGCTAATTAAGGTTCACAACCGGAGGATCGTTCCCGACTGCCCTCTTCTGTGCAAGATCTTCCAGGCCTACTTTAACGTGAAATTCTGCTATTTAAAAAAAAACCCATCAAATATGTTTGCAAATACATCAACAAAGGCTCTGACATGGCTGTCTTTGCCTTACAAAACAGAGGGGCAAAGTGTGCATGAGCTCAAACTTTTTTTTCCAAGGAACATACATCAGCAACAATGAGGCCATTTGCTGAATTCTTGGCTTCCCCATCCATGACCATTCCCCCACAGTCGTCCATTTGTTACTTCACCTCCAAAATGGTCAACACATCTACGTCACCAAAGGAAATGCCCAACAACAGGCCCTGGCTCCACAACATACCACCCTTATGGCGTTCTTTGTTTCGTGCCCAAGTGACCCATTTGCTGCCAACCTGCTCTACCATAAAGTTATCTCCTAATATACATGGACAGCTAAAAAAATTGAAGCGACGTGCTGCGGTGAATCTGATGCCTTAGGACGAGTCTACACAGTTCATCCCAACAATCAACAGTGCTACTTTCTCCCAATGCTTCTCCATGTTGCCAAAGGGCACAAATCTTTCCAAGACCTCTAAACAGTGGAGAATGAGTTGTCTGTCAAACATACAGGTAAGCTTGCAATCTTCGTGCAATTCTTGCACATGATCATCATCTTCATAAAGCTATGACACAAGCGTCTGTTGGTCAGTCCCCTTTCCAACTGACATTGTTCTTCAAGTTTGCAGCCCATCTAACCCCACGGGACTCTGGCAAAAACACAAAGAGGGCATGAGTGAGGACATCCTCCACGGAGCTCAAAGAGAAAATACAAACCTCGACGTCAACTTTTCTGATGTCATCTTCAAACAGGCCCTCATCCTCCTTCAGGACAAACTGCAATCCATTGGTGGAAAATGCCTCACGTCTATTGAACTACCAACACCCTAGAGGGACATCCTGCATGCCCTTGCTCAAGGGATCCTACGTGAAATATGCTATTATGCTTTCCAGCTTCTTAAATTTAGTTAGGAAAATTAACCAAAGCTGATGGATGCACAAATAGAAGCCTACACGGAAATCTTGGAAGACATTGAGACTACAAATCGAGTCTTTTTTTTCCTTGATGCACCTGCCAGTACTGGGAAGACCTTTGTTTTCAAACTGCTCCTCGTTATGGCTCGCCAGAAAGAGAAATTGCTCTAGCTGTGGCATCATCGGAGATTGCTGTGTAAGTCGATGAGTGCGTGTCTGTCGATGTGTGTGTGTTTGAGTCCATATGTGTGTGCGTTTAGGTCCGTGTGTGTGTAAGTCGATGTGTGTCTGTGTCTTTTTTGCCCGGGCAACGACAGATGTCTGTGTGTGTACATCGATGTGTGTGTGTAAGTCCAACTGTGCGTGTCGGTCCATGTGTGTGTGTCAGTCGCTGTGTGTTTGTCTATGTGTGTCAGTCCATGTGTGTGTGTACGTCGATGTGTATGTGTGTGTGAGTCCATATGTATGTGTAAGTCCATTTGTGTGTGTAAGTCAATGTGTGTATGTGTGAGTCGATATGTGTGTGTAACTCCATGGGTGTGTATCTAAAGTCCATGTCTATGTGTGAGAGTCCATATGTGTACAGTATGTGTGTAGGCCAATGTGTGTGTGAGTCTATGTATGTGTGTGTGTCAGTCCATATGTGTGTGTGTAAGTCGATGTGTGTGCGTGGGTCCATGTGTGTGTGTAAGTCCATGTGTGTGTCTCTTAGTCGATATGTGTGTGCGTAAGTCCATATGTGTGCTTAGGTCGATGTGTGTTTGAGAGTCTACGTATGTGTGTGTGAGTCACTGTATGTTTGTATGTCGATTTCTGTGTGTAAGTCCATGTGTGTTTATCTAAAGTGGATGTCTGTGTGCGTGAGTCCATATCTGTGTGTGTGTATAAGTCGATGTGTTTGTGTGCGTGGGTTAATGTCTGTGTGTGTGTCTAATTCGATATGTATGTGTGTGTGTCTTTTTCGCCCGGGTAACGCCGGGTACTTCCCGCTAGTATATATTTAAATGTCTGTTTGTGGGTTTGTTTGTGGGTTTGTGTCTGTTTGCGTGCTTGCAAACGA